CATGATGGGAAGCGTACTGACGACAGGAGCGGCGCGCGTGGTGCCGTCAGTGTGTGGCCGGCTCGTCGCGGCCTCGCCTCCGTGCCTCGGGCTGTCCGCTGACCGTCGCCGTCCCTGTCGGCAGCCGGCGGCCGCCGACACGGTCACCATCACGGTGCACTCGGTGACGCTGCGACCGGACGCCGAGCTGCCGGAGCCGAAGGCTGGCGAGCGGCCGCGCCTCTTCGTCGAGTACCGCTTCCTGGACGTGCCGGCCGAGCAGCTGGAGACGCCGGTCTCGCTGCCGCTCGGGGAGCCCAGCCAGCCGCTGCACTTCAACTTCAGGAAGGGTGAGCCGGCCGGCCGGCTGCGGCGGCGCCGGCGCAGGGACTTGGTGCCGGTCTCTAGGACTGCTTGCTCGCGCCACGCCCGTCGTGACTGTCACCGGGCGCTGCTCATCGTGTTGCCTCGTGTGGTGAGAGGACACCGGCCGGACGTGCCGGTAAACGGCCCGCGGTCGGCGCGGTCGGCAGCGTGGTGCTTGTCCGACGGACTGTATCCAATCACGCGCTGCCGGTGCGCGGCCCGCTGGCCGTCACCGGCGAGCCGGGTGTGACGGACGGCGGCGCTCACCGACAGTGATCACGGTGGGCGGTCTGGAGCACCGGGAGCGGCGCCGTCTGCTGGCGCGCCAGCTGCGGCGCGGCGCCGACCACGGCGGCCTCGTCACCTTCACCGTGGTGGCCGAGCCGCCCGACTCGGTCGACGAGTCCGCCGAGTGTACCGACGTCGGGTGAGGCTGGCCACCGGCGCTGCCGAGGCGCCCGGCGTCGCCCGGGTCGGCCCGAGCCGGCAGGCGTCGCCGGCGGTGCTGCTGCTGCGGAAAGGCCGTGGTGACCTGAGCGTTCGTCAAGGTCCGGCGGAGGCCGGGTTTCATGTGTGGTCAGCCGTAAAACTCCAATCATCATCATCATCTGTGGCCGGGTTTGCCATCGTGTGTATACGTTCGTGTGCCGCTGCCTGAGCTGCGTGATGTGTAACATGGGTGACAAGCCTGCCGTGCCTGGCCTGATTTGGCCCTGAGGCCAGTGACCACAGGTGCGCCATCTCAGCCGACCGGACCCGCTGACGGGGTCTGACCGACCCGACTGACCGGGAGGTACGACCTGAGCCTACCCGAGCTGCTGACCTCGGGCGTGACCGACCGGACCCATGGCCGGCAGGTACGCCCACCTGAGCCTACCCGAGCTGCTGACCTCGGGCCGTGACCTGACCTGACCATGGCCGGCAGGTACGCTCACCTGAGCCTGCCCGAGCTGCTGACCTCGGGCGTGACCTGACGTGACCCATGGCCGGCAGGTACGCTCACCTGAGCCTACCCGAGCTGCTGACCTCGGGCCGTGCCTGACCTGACCCATGGCCGGCAGGCACGCCCACCTGAGCCTGCCCGAGCTGCTGACCTCGGGCCGTGACCTGACCTGACCCATGGCCGGCAGATACGCTCACCTGAGCCTGCCCGAGCTGCTGACCTCGGGCCGTGACCTGACCTGACCCATGGCCGGCAGGCACGCCCACCTGAGCCTGCCCGAGCTGCTGACCTCGGGCCGTGCCTGACCTGACCCATGGCCGGCAGCACACCTGAGCCTGCCCGAGCTGCTGACCTCGGGCCGTGCCTGACCTGACCCATGGCCGGCAGGTACGCTCACCTGAGCCTGCCCGAGCTGCTGACCTTGGGCCGTGACCTGACCTGACCCATGGCCGGCAGGCACGCCCACCTGAGCCTCCCCGAGCTGCTGACCTCGGGCCGTGCCTGACCTGACCCATGGCCGGCAGGCACGCCCACCTGAGCCTCCCCGAGCTGCTGACCTCGGGCCGTGACCTGAAGGAGAGTCGGCTGCCGCTCAGCTCGCTGGCCGGGGAGCCGGCCGGTCACGTGACCGTCAGTGTGCAGGCGCTGCAGGCGCTGCGAGCCGCCGCGGCCAGGCGGAGTAGGCGGCGCCAGCGCCAGCCTGCCGGCAGCAGGTCAGGCGCCGTGGTCAGGCTGCTGTCAGTGCCTGCCTGCGGTCAACAGTGATGCGGCGGGGGTGGGCGATGACGTCACGCGAGGGAGCGCACAGGCTCGCCGCCAAAGACGGAAGCGCTGCCGATCTGTGCTGGTTGGGAGGGACAGCGGAGCGAATGTGACGCCATGATGGAGCGCATTTGGTGATAGTGAGTGAGCCGCCCGGGGGTCAGACTCTTCAGATTGCTACTGTTCTCACCCGATTGCATTCTAGTCATTCTAGTCATCCTAGTCATGGTCCGTCCAGCTGAAACCTAGCCAGAGACGTTCTCCGACGGGAATAGCCCACAGTCAGGGCAGCTGGATTGCACGTAGTGGGGAGTTAGCGAGGCTCGTGGGGTGCCGCACGCTCCGCTCGGGGATCTCAGACGCCTGCCAGCAGCACCTGCAACCACTGCCTTATGGCTGCGGTTTTGCAAGCCGTCCATACGCTGTGACTGAGCGTGTTCAGCGCTGAGAGGATGTGTTCAACATCTGCCTGTTGTGCCGGCGGTTCGGGCGACACGCGCGGTCGAGGCTGGAGCGCGCTCAGAGTATTCGCGGAACAAACATACGTGCAATGCTTACCGATTTCGATCATGCCATAGAAGTGTGTGAAAAGCGCGCCTCCGTATGCACATCTCTACTTACCGTCGCTAGTCGTTTAAAGCTCGTCGCGGCGGCGGCGCCGTGGCCCTGCCACCTGTTGGGATGCGGGCGAGCCTGTAGTACAAACGCCGGCCGCCGTGGCGTGGTCCTCTCCTCGTTTGTACTTTTGTACCGTCGCGAGAGCGGACTGGCGCTCGGGCCGCGGCCGGTGGCCCCGCTGGCGCCTGCAGAGACGGCGCGCTCGCCGGCTGTTGGCGTGCGCTGCTGGCGCCCGGCCGGGTGGGAAGTACGGGACGCCCCAGGCGCCCGGGGCAGGGGACGGCGTCAGCAGGCGTCTCCCCCGCCTGCGTCACAGCCTCGCCGTCACGTGGTCCTCTCGCTGAATAAACGTCCGTCCGACGGATGTATTCGAGCGTCTCGTGTGGCAGAAGGCGAGAGGACTCTGATCTCACGAATGCCGTCATCATGCCTTTCTTCGACGCATATTCCACGCGCGTTGGGGCTGCTAGCCATAGAACCAAAGAAGGCCAGGTCTAGGAGAGGTGACTGTGTCTTCTGTTCGGGCAGTTCTCGCACCTGGCTTAGGCCATCGCGCCCAAATGGTCGGCCCGGTACGTGAACTCTCGGCGGGGCTCTGTCTGTGCAACCTTAAGTGCTGGAGGACGGAGCGGCAGCGGGGGACCGGGCCCGCCGGCGCCTCGGACCAGCCCACGCGCCCGATCGCACGCGACGGGAACAGCCGACTGCCCGCCGGCTGATCGGCCGGTGCGCCGCACGCGATGTGGCGCGCGGGGCGGGACCGGCCCTCCAGACGCAGAGGACCTGCCAGGGTGGCCAGTGAAGGACAGCGCTGGCAGCTGCAGCCACAGAGGAGCTGCCAGGGTGGCCAGTGAAGGACAGCACTGGCAACTGCAGGCACAGAGGAGCTGCCGGGGTGGACAGTGAAGTACGGCACTGGCAGCTGCGGCCACAGGGAGCTGCCAGGGTGGCCAGTGAAGGACAGCACTGGCAGCTGCAGCCACAGAGGAGCTGTCAGGGTGATCGGCAGACGGATGGCGAGCACCCTCATTGCGTTTCCGGGCGCTGACCAACACACGGTTGTAACGCCGTTTTGGGGTGGTTACTCGTGCGTCCGTGTCCGTGGGGAGGCCGGCAGATGTGAAACTGGCGCTTGGTGGTGCATGCGTCTGCGTTCCAGGACTGTCACGGCGGAACGGGGCATACGTTGCTGCCGCCAAGTGCTGTGCAATTGAAGTGAAAACTGTGCCGGTGTCCGCTTCTCCCAAATCCCGCGAGTTCAGTGTGCATCAAACCTCCGCCAAACACAGGTTACTTTCGAGCAAAATATTGCTTCCCAAAATTAAGCGATTTTATGCCGGTTGTGACCTAACGCAACTAAACAGCATGGTTTGGATCGTGCATTTGAGGCGTCAACAGATGCTGATTGGCTCTTTGGATGAGGCTCCTTTCGGTAGTCATGCAGTTTCGGGCTATGGGATGGACAAGAGTAAAAAGATAACAGCGTGGCAAAACTACACGCACCTACGTCTATTCAACTACGTCAACTACGTCCACTCGCCGAAATAACCCCGCACGGGGACCCCTATTTGGGGTTGTGCTTGCCGTTCCGATGGGACTTCACCACGCGACACGTGGGCATACTAAGGGAGGTGCGTGTGGCCTTTCCCGGACGAATGGGATGTCGCGAGGATTCAGGGTGAAGCAAGAAGGAGGAAAGAACAGCGGGTGGCGGAGACTGCACTCTATCGATCTTTGTATTCTATGTTCACGTTAGCTGTCAGCCAAGGTAAAGTCCGTTAAATGCACAGGCTTCTCCACCCAGTTTGGGAAGATATCCTCCTTCACCCGTCGCCATCGCTCTCCGTAACACTTGGCCAGACCCTTCATCTGCTTGTAAGACAAGCGTTCCACTCCATCAACTGACAGGCGCATCTCGGTCGGCAGCTGTTCGGGACCGACATCTTTCAACAGTTGAACAAACTCCTGCATCATTCGCGTCGACAGATGGCGACACGCGCCGCCGCCGTCCCGCGGGCCTTCTTCGTGACGCCCTTCCCGTACGCCATCTGCAAACACCTCGAGCTCGCGCCGCACAGCCCAGGCTCCAGGCCACGCTGCAGGGCGATGGTACACCCTGGAAGCGCTGCCCTCCTCCACGCCCCGGTTCGCGTTCCTCCCCCTCCAGCCGGGGGCGATCAGTGCTTCTTTTCTTCGCCAGCGCGACGCATCACGGCCGCTTGCCGAACTCAAACTCGAGCCGGCTCTGCGCGATCAGCGGCGCGGTCGCAGCGCCGTCCCGCTCACCAGCGCGCGCGCATGGCCTGCAGCGCTGGTACGGACACCGGCCGATCACCACCGAGCTGAGCGGCACCGGCCAGACGGCAGCAGGCAGCTGAGCAGCGCGCCCTGCACGCCCACCAGCAGCCACTTGGCCAGCCTTGTCCCACTGCACGACATCGAGGAGCGTCGGCTCGCCGCGGCCCCGGCTTGGTGCGCAGCACGCCCGTCACGTGGTAGCCGGCGCCAGGCTCGCGCGGGTCCGCCCCGCTCGCCGGTCCACCGGCCTTCGCGCCCGTCCGGTAGATGTCAGGCGCGTCCCCGTCGGCCGGCTCCGCGCCCTTCCGGGTGGGTGTCGGGCGCGTCGGCCGGTCCACGCGGGCCCGCTTCGCTGGCGGTCCGGCATCGGCGTCCGGCGCACGAGGGAAGATGAGCAGTCGCCGCAAGGCGTTGTGGCTGGCGAAGAAGTGTACGCGCACAGCCGGCCCGTAGCTCGGCGCCGCGCCGGCGACGACGCGGCGCAGGCAACACTCTCGCCGCGTACAGGCGACGCAGCTTCGGCCACAGGAGCGCTGGAAGGCGCGGCCGCGACACAAGCTTCGGCGTGAGAGTCGGAGACGGTGCGACCGGCGGCGCAGCGCTGGCCGCCACCCAGGCACTTGCTGCCGGTGCCCAGCGCCACCACGCGGCAGGCGCGGTGCGGCGGCTCGGAGAGTGCCACGCCGGCCAGTGGCGTCCAGTGGCGCGGCGCCGGCCGGCCGCGCGCCCCAGCCGTGCCAGCTGCGCGTAACACGCGGCCGCCAGCGTGTCGGCGAAGCTCTCTGGCGCCACGAACGGAGCCGGGTCGGACCCTGTGACGTCACCGGCAGACGAGGCGGGTCGAGTGCAACGTCACAAGGAAGATGCGGCTGATCGAGTCTGACGTCAGTGATGAGGCCGGGTCGAGGTGACGTCACTGGACGATGAGGCCGGGTCGAGTGTGACGTCACTAGACGATGAGGCTGGATCGGGCGTCATGCCACCGACTCTCGGAGCCCGGTCGAGTGTGACGTTACTGTACGACGAGGCTGGATCGGTTGTCAGTCAGCGACTCTCGGAGCCGGGTCGAGTGTGACGTCGCGAGGCGAGGCCGGGTCTGACGTGACGTCACAGGGCGATACGGCCGCCGAGACATGACGTCACTGGTCGAAGCCCCGCCTCGCGTCCAGTCCAGGCGTGCCCGGCGGCCGGGCGCTGCCGTTCCTCGTCTGCTGCGACTTCTGGCACACGGGCTTGGACTCCGACGGTCGCCAGACGTCGGCTCAGTGGGCAGGTGCCGCCTCCAACAGCCGCAGCAGCAACGTGGCGGCACCCCGCGACGGCTCTGAAAACGGGAACAGTCACACTGAGCCG